TTAAGAACACCTGACTGTAGATACATGAACTACTTCTGGATTCTTGATTCTATCCTGCTGATCCATATGTCTATACTTATGCCAGTACCACATTTTCCTGATTACCACTGCTTTGCAGTAAGCTTTGAAATCAGGAAGTGTGAGTCTTTTTACTTTGTTCTTTTCAGGATTATTTTGACGTTGGTTGGTATCTTGCAATTCCTTATAAATTTGAAAATCAGTTTATCAATTTTTACAGAGTTCAGCTGGGATTTGGAGAGGGATGGCTTTGAATCTGCAGATTCACTGGAGGAATATTGTCATCTTAACAACATTAAGCCTTCCGGTCCATGGGCATGAGATGTTTTCCTATTTATTTACATCTTTCAATATTTTGTAACTTTCAAATATAAATTTTGGACTTCTTCTGTTAAACTTATCCCTAAGGATTTTATACTTTTTAACACTATTGTGTGTTTTAACACTTTTTAACACTATTATTCTTTTTAACACTAGTCCTAGCGGACTTTTTAGTGGATTCTTTAGGATGAGAATTCTAAAACTTCTACATCTTGTGGAAGAATCACTGATCTCATGAGGTTTGCTTTCAGAGAATAATTTACTACCCCAGGAGACAATGGATGAGATCCAAAATCTAATTGAAAATGTGAAAAAGGGGCGCCTGGGTGGCGCAGTCGGTTAAGCGTCCGACTTCAGCCAGGTCACAATCTCGCGGTCCGTGAGTTCGAGCCCCGCGTCGGGCTCTGGGCTGACAGCTCAGAGCCTGGAGCCTGTTTCGGATTCTGTGTCTCCCTCTCTCTCTGCCCCTCCCCCGTTCATGCTCTGTCTCTCTCTGTCCCAAAAATAAATACATGTTGAAAATGTGAAAAAAATTGGAAAATTATCAGCAAGGCCTCTCAGATAGAAGTTAATAGGTCATTATGGAGGAGGCTTTCATTTTCAGTAATATTAGGATTACAGGTGGCAGTTGTTGCTTAACAAAGGTAGATGCTTCAGAGTAACACTATCCAATACAGCTTTCTGTAATGGAAATGTCTTATACCTATATTGTCCAAAACAGTAGCCCCTGGCCATATGTGGATATTTACATTTAAAATAATTAAAATTAAATAAAATTTGAATTTAAAATAATTAAAATAAAATTTAAATTTTAGTTCCTCAGGCACACTGGCCACATTTCAAGTGCTCATTAGCTACACATATAGTATTGGATGGCACAGATAATAGAATATTTCTATCATCACACGAAGTTCTACTGGAGAGTGCTGACCTAGAGTCTCCAGTAAAGAAGCCACTGGGTTGGAGGGACATAAGAAAGAAGCAAATGGTATTTCCATCCTTAAATGATTCACAAAAAGCAAATTCAGTATGTTAGGTGATCCAATTAATGCCTTATCTATAACTTTTACATATATGTTGGAAGAAAAAGGAATTCACAATTAATGTTTTCCCTGTACTCTTTAAGAAAGGCAGACATATGAACAATGGAGAAAGAAAAAAGAAGAATTGTATATTCTAAAGATTCAGGATTTTGAAAATCTAGTGTTAGTTATAAAGAAAAACCATTTCAAGTAAAAAAAAAAAAAAAAAAAAAAAAACCATGGTGTTATAACACTTCTCTGTGAAATCCTGCAGAGTCTCCCTGCCTCTGGCTACAGTGACAAAGACCCGATTCAACTTCAAACTCTACACTTACAAGTGTGACCTTGGGCAAGTTACTTAATCTCTCTGTGTAGAGGTTCTCTCTTCTGCAAAATGAGAAAAGGAAAAGCAGGTGAAGCACCTAGACATGTATCTAGTACATAGTAGGCATTCAATACATATTAGATATTATTATTACCAGAGGGGGAGATAATATCATACAGAAGATTGATTTGTACTTAAAAACCTTGAAATGACTTCTCATTGCCTATAGAGTAAAACCCAAGATTCTCCATATGTCCCATAGGGCACAAGTCTGGTCTGTATTTACCACTCAAGTTTTCTCTCTCGGTGATCCACCTGGGACTCTTGGCTTTATTAACACCATGCAGCTTGCAGTTATTCCAGAAGGCATGCCATTTTAGATTTCCACAACTTGCTCATGCCATTCCTTCTGTCTGGAAGCTCTCTACAGTCTTCTTGGCCCAGTTAACATGTGATGATCCTTTAGGACTCACCGACATTGGGTTAGGAGACTCTTGGGAGGATTTCCATTGCTTTCTCACCTACTGCTTTATTTTGGGGGTTTCTTTGGTGGTGGTGGTAGTGGTGGTTTGTTTTTTTTTTTTTTTTTGAGAAAGAGAGAGCATGCACACACACAAGTGGGAGAGGGGAAGAGGGAAAGAGAGAGAGAGAGAGAGAGAGAGAGAGAGAGAGAGAGAGAATCTTAAGCAGGCTCCACTCCCAATGTGGAGCCCAACTCCTCACAACCATGAGATCATGACCTGAACTGAAATCAAGGGCTGGTGACTTAACTGACTGAGCCACCCAGGTGCCCCCTCACCTACTGTTTTACATTGAAATTATCTGGTTAAGGGTCTGTCTCCACCAATAAGTAGAAAACACTAAGTGTCAGATGCGATGTTATGCTTTGATGGTATAAGGAGGAATAACAAATACGTTCTTGCCCCCACTAAGCAGAGTTTGAAAACAGAGAGGGACCATATCTCTAGTGCCTCTTTATATTCTCAAAGCCTAGCATATGTGTGGCACACAATAAGTACGTAAAAACATTATCAAAACAGCCAGAATCTGATGTGTAGAGAAAGAACCACCTAGCCCAGCACCTAACTTCCTCCCAATGAGGTTTCTTGAGTGTTTTAAAGGAGGAATTGCAGTGAATGAGCAGAGAAAATTCCAGGTGATGTTATTCGTGTCCCTCAGGCACATAAAGTCCCCCTCCCCCCGTCCTTTGTGAGGACACCAGCCCTCCAGTATTGTCTCAGCGACCCATGGGCTCCTAGATCTCTTTCCACCACACCCATTTCCTCTTTTCTGTTGGAAAGCAATGGATAGAAGAGGTTTGATTAAATAAATTAATTTAATCTTAAGATTTTAATCTTAAAGATTAAAAAAAACCTCACGTAACAGTTGATAGCTTAAAGGTTAGCCTATGCTCCTTTTCCTAGTGCATCAGCCTTTCTGATACAGAAATCCAAATGTAAAAGTCTCTTGTCATATATAGAACAAAGAACTCTCACTGCCCTATCTGGGAACAGAGAGGGCACTACTACAAACAGAGAATTAGCTCCTTGTCAAGTGGAGAAACAGCATCTAGACTAGCAATTTTTTTTAATATTTATTTATTGACACACACACACACACACACACACACACACACACACACGTGAGTGGGGGAGAGGCAGAGAGAGAGGGAGAGAGAATCCTGAGCAGGCTCTGTGCTGTTAGTGCAGAGCCCAATGTGGGGCTTAATCCCATGAAACATGAGATCATGACCTGAGTTGAAATCAAGAGTCAGACACTCAACAGACTGAGCCACCCAGTGCCCCTAGACTAACAACTTTCTACCAGAAGTACGCCATAGTGCTGGTGATATAAAGATAATCTGGGTAATATAAAGTGAAATTGGTTAAAGAGATAAGCTTCTTAAGGAAGATTCATTTAAGAGGCCATTTGAATGCTGGAAATAGAAATTGCCAGCCATATGGAAAGACAAGACTGTATGGAAAGACATTCTCGGGGCCAGTGGAACCTTACAGCATCCTCAGTAATTGCAACTTGTAGTTTTCCTGGATGGGCATTAGTGGGTCAATTATGTATGTAATATTATATCAGATAAGTAGTATCTAATATCATATTGGATAATATATTCTGACAAAGACAGTTCAGGAGTTCTGTCCTGCAGATAGTTAAGGTTACCTCATAATAACTATAGCTACATGACACTCAACCTCTGGGGCTTCCCCAATATACAGACTAAGATAATCAGGAACGACAAACATGTGCCGTGTTAGATAAAGATACGTGACTGTTTCCCACCACACCAAGAATTCCATGAAGGCAGAGACTCAGGCTCATTCAGCTCTGGATGCATAATGCTAATATGGTGGTTGGCCCATATTGGAACTTCTCGTTGAGTAGAAGCAGGAAGAAGGTCAGGAAAGAAAGAGAGACAAAATGGAAACAAGAATGATCTGAGGCTCCCTAGGGCCAAAGATGGCCACTACCCAGGGACATACAGGGACACTCAGGAACAGTAAATGGTCTCATCCATGCCAACCAACCATAAATGGGATCCTCTGTGGCCAAAAGCACAACAGTTGAATTAAATCAGTTTTACCAAGAGCTCTGTTCTTTCATTTCACTATCTCTTTAGCAGTTGTAAAGACTAGTGTATATTTTATCAGCTACAGGAGAAATAAAAACTGTAATAATAAAGTTGTCATAATAACCTTGTCCCAACTGTTCATAACTTTCTAAAATTTCAGTGTTTTGGCTAGTGTTTTTTCCACTTGCTATCAGTCCAAAGGTAACTTTTGGAAGTTTGAGGAAAAAAACTGTCACATTATTTCTAATTCGGTAAAAATTAAATCCTCATCATTTCCCCCTTACAATAACACACACAATAGAAGTAAAATATAGAATCAAATATCTCCCTAAGGTGAAACAATAAGAATTTGGAGTTCAAGTTAGGAAATGCTGATTATTTTCCTTTTCTAATCAAAAATAGCATTTGAAAAAGATTTTAATGTTTATTTATTTTTGAGAGCGAGAGAGAAGAATTTGGAGTTCAAGTTAGGAAATACCTATTATTCTCTTTTTCTTTTTTTTTTTCAACGTTTATTTTTTTTTTATTTTTGGGACAGAGGGAGACAAAGCATGAACGGGGGAGGGGCAGAGAGAGAGGGAGACACAGAATCGGAAACAGGCTCCAGGCTCTGAGCCATCAGCCCAGAGCCTGACGCGGGGCTCGAACTCACGGACTACCAGATCATGACCTGAGCCAAAGTCGGATGCTCAACCGACTGAGCCACCCAGGTGCCCCCAAAATAACCTTTTTTTTTATGGAACTCTTCACGAATTTGAGTGTCCTCCTTGCCCAAGGGCCATGCTAATCTCTGTACCATTCCAATTTTAGTATATGTGCTGCTGAAGCCAGCACCAAAATAACATTTTTGATACAAGTTTTACTTTGCCTTTGTACATAGGCATAATGATATTTTACCTTTAAATGACCCAAAGCTCCAGTGCTAAATTATGTTTTCCTTCAAGGAGGATATAATTTCATATTCAACCAGCACAGCAATTTCAGGCTTACCAATTAAGTCTGTAGAAGGAATTATCATCCTTCTAGCTATGATCCTTCTTGCCTAGCAGGAACTGCGAATGAAACAAAGTCCCATATAAAGGTTAGGGAGGCAATCCAGCAAAGTGAAGGAAACTGGATGTGAAATTTTGAAAGCACCATTCATACTTGCTGTGTTTCGCATTAGTAACTAGTCTTCCTGCTTGGAGATGAGATATTTCCCAACTTGCACTTTGCACTGGTTAAAATCTGGAGCGTCATTTTGCCTCTTAATCTTGGTTGGTGATGACACCCAGTTTGCTCTTTTACAGCTGGCTCCGACCAACAATAAAAGTAACCATTTGTAAAGTCAAATAACAGGAGTAGTTCTTAGGGAGACCAGCAGCCAGACTGATTCACCAAGCTGGCCCCCTTCCCAGGAATAAAGAAAATGCTAGGTAGCTGTCGTAGCGGTTATCCTGGGTGACACTCAGGATTCCCAACCGCATGGCTGGTCAGGCGAGTTAAAGAATGTCTGGGACTAGAGCAATAATGGAGGTGACCGCGCTGCGGCAAGCCCTGAATTAAGTTAGTACATTCAAAGTTGCCATAGAAACCCTCCCTGAATGTCCTCCCTTCTGCAGAACTGAGCTGATGTTTAAATGTTAATATGCCTTCTTACATTTCGTGATATGTGAAATAGAAAGTAGATAAACACGGAAGAAAGAAAACATACTTGGAGGTCTGGAATACTTGAGACTGAATACTTTTCCCATCCTAAGTTATCCTTTTAAACCAGTGCCTAAAGGAGGGGTGGTGTGGGTAGCAGCGGCTGGGAGCTGTTCAGGGCAGTCTTTATGCCTCTAGGTCCAATGCCGCGCTCTGAAAGGCACCGCTGAAATTCAGCTAACCCAGCTTGCACTTGCAGCCAGATGACAAGCAAAGTGGCCTTTCAATAGCAAACCTCCAGGAGGAAATGCCAGTTCGCACTCGTGAGAAGTTTCAGTCACTGTACATCCACATTCGATTTTCACCGCTCACTGTCCACGAGAAAACATTTGGAGGCTCTTTAAAGCCGGTTACACGATCAATTAATCTATAGTATGTTTTAAATAAATATTTCTGGTAAATGTAACAAAAACCGGCATTTGTATGGCTTGCACCTAAATTATCATCATCATTGCGAAGCAGATGCGGAACGCAGAGATGAGGCAAACAATCAGGACTGTAATTTGCTCAGTAACATTGTTTTAGATCTAATTAGTGCTTATGCAGATCCTTTACAAAAATGTGAAAACTGCACCAGGATGTAATTGTTTAATGAATTTAGTGCAAAGCGCATCTGCATAAATTCCATTTTAGCTGGAAAAACTAAGTTCAACTGCTATTTGCTCCAGAGCCAAAACATTGTGAATCGTGCCCACAGTGCCTTAGCCCTGCTTTGCTGGCTTGGGTATTTCAAATAAATACTACAAAGTTAAAGCCTCCAGCTGCAGACCAACCCATCTGTAGATGTTTGTTATATTTGGCAGTATTGTAGAATGATTGTGCCTTCCTGCTGGAAGAAAAAAAAAAAAAAAGAAGGGGGGGGAAACAAGGTTCTGTCAGCAAAAAAAAAGTAAAAGTTTGGAATATGCATCACCCAACAAAAGTGGAGTTTTGAATGGGAATCTAGTTTATGTAGCAGTGAATTTTAAGCACCTGTTAACATGGAGCCCACCATGTAAACCCAATAATATCCTTCTTCTCTGTTCTCCCCCACATTTAATTTCTTTTTTTTTTTTAAATTTTTTTTTCAACGTTTTTATTTATTTTTGGGACAGAGAGAGACAGAGCATGAACGGGGGAGGGGCAGAGAGAGAGGGAGACACAGAATCGGAAACAGGCTCCAGGCTCTGAGCCACCAGCCCAGAGCCCGACGCGGGGCTCGAACTCACGGACCGCGAGATCGTGACCTGGCTGAAGTCGGACGCTTAACTGACTGCGCCACCCAGGCGCCCCCCCACATTTAATTTCTGACAAAACCACGGAAATTTGAATTGGACATGTGTTTGAATGCAATGAAATTTGAGCTTTTTCTTTAGATTTCAGGGAGGGCACTAGTCACTTCTTTGTGATGGGTGTTTAAAGATCAATATTCGTAACTTGTATGCGAAGAGAGGAGTTCGCCACGGATGTTTACGTGATTGGCTGGAAAGTGTTTGGTTTTTGTTTCTGTTTTTCTGGTTTGCCTTCTGCCTGTGCTCAGCACGAATGCGCTGAGCCACGTGCTCTATTAATGACTCCCGTGCGCACCGGGCTGGTGTGCGGCCCGATGGAGATGTGTCGGGCCCGCTCTGGAGGAACTTTGTAAAATGACTGCAAATATCATTTGCCATCATTCAGCTGAACGCTCCAGTTTAGGCTGAAACACCCGAGAAGCATGCAGTCGATGTTCGGATTGAACCAGAAGCGTGTGCGGCTCCTCCTGGTTCTCTGGTGAGGGCCCGGTCTCAGGATGTCCTGGGTGAAGGTTCCCGGGAGGCAGACGGGGAAGCAGGGCGGTGCTCGCAGGAAGTTTAAGGGGGGTGGGTGGGGACAACAGTAGAGGGATGGGGGTGCCCTAGGCCCGCCCGTGAGGGAGACAAGGGCACCAGGACTGGGCACCCGCGTGGTGTCACAAGGCCTCAGCCAACCACGAGAACCTGCAGAGCTGGAGGGAAGTGGGGCAAAGGCTCCAGGCCTTTGCACCCCCACATCAGGTGGGCATCAGATATAGGGGACCCTGGGGCGGGGCCTCGGCCTTGGGCCGCTGGTCTGCAGCGGGCGCTCCTGGGGGCTGGGGAAAGAGCACCTGGGCCCGATGGGGGATCCTGGCCGGGCCTCCACCACAGCACCTGCAGTCCCTCCCTGCACACTCAGGTCCGTTTACGTTGTGTAACTTCGCACCGCCAGGAACGCGGCTAGGATTCTCCTCCGTCTCTTTTCCTGGAGAAACCGCAAGAGGAAGGGTAGTGGGATGAACGACCGCCCGGTGGCTGCAGGTGGTCTCGACCGCAACTGCTTCTCACCTCCTCCCGCCCCCTCCACCCATTGCACCTTCACACACCGCTTAGTTGGTGGGGTGACCCGGAGTCTCATCCCTCAGCTCCCGGCCACCCTGCGCTTCTCAGGCTTTAACTGCTGCGCGTGTCCATCATCAGAATCTGCCCTGGGAGCGCCAACAGACGTCAGCACAGATCCCCTGGAGGCCAGCAAATTCTCCCCAGCCCCACTGTATGACTGCAGCCCTCCCCGCCCTCCTGATGATCCATTACTTCCTCCAGGGTGGCGACTCCTTCCTCCAGCTTTGGTGAACCCAGACACAGCCTCAAACCCTGACGTTGATGCACTAGTGGTTCCAGCCCTTGGGTGGCCAATTGTAAGGGCTCGTTCGCATCCACCGGTGAGGCATTTTGTATTTGGGTGGGCAGGTGCCTCCCCCGTGGTAGGTGTTCTTTGGCGGACATTTAAAAGGTGATGCAAAGGTCTTCACTGGTTGTGCCTACTCCCATAGTTCTAGCCATGTGCCTCTTCCCCAGAGTCCTTGACTCTGATATTTCCAGTTTGCCGCTTCCTGGTTCCCTCGCGTTTGCTCATGAGTTTCTGCACATGCCACTTCTTTTTCCTCAAAAGTAGGTGATCAGATGCAGAGTCCAAAGATCCTCAGTGGAGGAGGACTTCCCCTTACCTCTTTCAAGGCCACTCCTGGGAGGGGCTATAATACAGTCACTGTATTATAATGTATAATTGTATAATATATAATTACCCCCACCAGCTAATCTAATTCTTCCATAAGCTAAGCTTGAACCTTTTCTTCCTTAGTTGATCAATAAGGGATCTTGTGAGGATATAAGTGATCATAACAGATGAAAGCTGAGGAGGAGCTGGTGGGACAGGAGTGGATGGCCACCTGCTCATGGAGCTTCCTTGTGCCCACTTTCCTTGTCCATGCTAGACAAACCATTTGTATCTTATGATGGATCGCTCCTAGGCCTGCCTGACCTTATGACTTGGTGGGTTGGACAGAACCCAGATTATCATGGGCAGTTCTGGCCACATGGTCACTCGATGTCCCACGGTCAGGCACTCCATCTCAACCAGGCCCATCAGCATGCCAGGAGCTCTTTTTTTTCAATGGTATATCATTGTCTGCTGCAGATGGCATGGCCTTGTTCCAGAACCCTAGGGGTCTACATTGTGACTCTCCTATCGGGCTTGCCATAAACTCCACATGGCATCTTTTCCCGCCACAGATACCTCTGATAACAGAGGGTCTGCTAGTCCTACGGTCCAAGAAGCAAGGCTGCTTGTATCACAACCTAGACCTGACACAGAGCTCTTTCCAGACATGGCCCCCACTCAAAGTTGACAGTCCTACGTATTACTTGATAAATGTGTCAGGGTAGAATTCCAAGTGGTAAATGTGGCTTCCAGAACCCAAAGAGGTTTACCAGGTGATGCACTTCCTTCTTAGTGAAGAGAGGTGTGCAGTGCAATAACTTGTCCTTTACTAAATGTCCACAGATATGACGAGCTCTTGAATCCTCCAGAGCACATGTGCCATCAAGGTCTTCAGTTACTTGCCATGTCTTGCTCATGTGGACCTTTTAACTTGCTGCCATCAAATTAGTGGACCAACGTGATGTTCTTTAAATGCCCAGACAATCCACATTACCTTTGAATTAAATTATTGCGAGAGCATAAGAGTTTTTTTTTTAATTTTTTTAACGTTTATTTATTTTTGAGACAGAGAGAGACAGAGCATGAATAGGGGAGGGGCAGAGAGAGAGGGAGACACAGAATCTGAAACAGGCTCCAGGCTCTGAGCTGTCAGCACAGAGCCCGACGCGGGGCTC